ACTGTTTGTGCATAACACCCAGTGCTCCACGCAGAACGTGCCCTCTTTAATACCCATCACCAGGCTAACCCATCCCCCCACCCCCTTCCCCTCTAGAGCCCTCAGTTTGCTTTTCAGAGTTCATCATCTCTCATGGTTCGTCTCCACCTCTAGTTTCCCCCCCTTCATTCTTCCTCTCCTGCTATCTTCTTCTTTTTTTTTTTTCTCAACATATATTGCATTATTTGTTTCAGAGGTACAGATGCTAAGAAGGACGAGCACATGAGACCATTCAGTTCTCCCACCCCTGCCCCGAAACCTCCAGTTAGCCTCCATGATACCATTTAGGTGATGTCAGAATTTCTGATATTTACAGTCTGTTCTGAGATGTGATTGCTGATTAGTCTTAACCCTGTACGTGAATGAACTCATTACTCATTTTCCATCTTTTTCATCAGTGTCTGTGTTTCTGCTGAGTCATCTTGGCCCTGCAGGTTTTTGGCGATGGGTTTACAGACACGTATTCTCTGACCACCTCTCTACTGCTTTTTTTTTCATTTTATTTTTTTATTTTTAATTTTTTATTTAAATTCAATTTAGTTAACATATAGTGTATTATTAATTTCAAAGGTAGAGTTCAGGGATTCATCAGTCTTATATAATACCCAGTGCTCATTACATCCTGTGCCCTCCCCAATGCCCATCACCCGGTTACCCCATCCTCCCACCCACCTTCTCTCTAGCAACGCTGTTTCCTATGATTAAGAGTCTCTTATAGTTTGTCTCCCTCTCTGATTTCATCTTGTCTTATTTTTCGCTCACTTCCCCTATGCTCTTCTGTTTCTTAAATTCCACATATGACTGAGATCATATGATAATTGTCTGACTGACTTATTTTGCTTAGCATAATCCCTCTAGTGCCATCCATGTCATTGCAAATGATAAGATTTCATTTTTTGATAGCTGAGTAATATTCCATTGTGTATATACACCACCTCTTCTTTCATCCGTTCAGTGGACATCTGGGTTCTTTCCATAGTTTGGCTATTGTGGACACTGCCGCTATAAACATTGGGATGCAGGTGCCCCTTTGGATCACTATGTTTGTATTCTTCGGATAAACACCCAGCAGTGCAGTTGCTGGGTCATAGGGTAGCTCTATTTTTAATTTTTTGAGGAACCTCCATACTGTTTTCCAGAGTGGCTGCAGCAGCTCGCATTCCCACCAGCAGTGTAGGAGGGTTCCCCTTTCTCCGCATCCCTGCCAAGATCTGTTGTTTCTTGTGTTGTTGATTTTAGACATTCTGACAGGTGTGAGGTGGGATCTCTCTGTGGTTTTGATTTGTTATTTTCCTGATGCCTTCCTACACGAAGAACACCAAGAAGAGCAGATACTTGGGTCAGACTTTCTTTCCCTTTGAATCATGTGGACCCTGTTCCACTGTCTTCGTGGATGCTACCGTGAAGATGTGCGTGGCCAAACAGGCAGTTTCTGTTGTGTATCTGTTTGCCCTTTCTGCCCAGAGATCTGCGGGCTCTTTCTTTACCCATGAAGTCCTACACTGCAGGCAAGACTATGTCGCACTGGGTCATATTTTCTTGGTACGTGGCATGCTGTTATGGTGTAGAGACCAAAGCTTTTATCAAAGAAAGTTTTTATTATTATTTGTTATTCATAAATTCCTTTATTATCTCTGAATATTTTTCTCTTTCATTTTCTGTGCCATCTGTTCTGTTCTTTCACAAACACCAGTGCGCTTGGGTTGATCTCCTCCGTCTCCCACACCCATCACTACCTCTGAAGAGCAGCGCGCATCTGTGCTCTTTTCCTACACAGTAGGTGCAGGCTTCCAGCCTGCACACAACTCCATCTTCTGTCTTTTCTTTAATTTTGTTGTTGTTTGTGATCTATGTTTTTTTTGTTTTGTTTGTTTGTTTGCCTCTGACTGTTCCAGTTGTCTTCTCCTTTTGTTGACTTACAATCTCTTTTCGAGCTCAAACCTCATTTTGAAGCTACTTTCCCGTCAGACACCATGACCACACTTTCCTCGGGAATACGAGCCTATTTGTTGGGACTGTTCCCTGGGTAGTAGCTCTGTGATGTTACTGTCACTCCTGTGACTCTTGCTTGCTCTTCCCTTCCCTGCAACCCGGCTTCCTCCTTCTCCTTCTCTGTGGCCCCGTCCACCTGGTGTTGCTGCGGAGGTTTTCTGCTAGAACTCCGAGTGCAGCTGTGTGCGAAAAACATGGGCAGGGGTGAGCTAGGGCACCTTACAGCTCTTGTGTGCAACCCTCTGGCACCACGTTTTTGTGTCTGTTGCCCACGTCTGTTCGGCCGGTGTGACTCAGAGAAGAGCCTCTTCCAAAACTGGCTCCCTGGGGACTAATGCAGCAACTGCTATCCCTTCTTCCCCCCCACTTCATCCCCGGCAGCCTTCCTTGGCTAGGAGGCCTGTGGGTGCCATGTCTCCTTCGGCGCCACCCGCCCCATGGCTCTGCGGGGACATTCTCGGGGCAGCTCACGGTCTAGCCCTCGTCTGCCCTCTGTAACCAGAGGACCATGGATGGGCCTTGGCGGACTGTCACCCATCGTCCGAGGGAGATCTACTCTGCACTCGGCGCCCGATGGATACTTGCCAGCTCCCAGCCTTCGCTCTCACTTTGGCCTGGATTTTATGGTCTTTGGCAGGTGTGTTCCATGATTTATAGTTTGGGATTCTGGCCATTTCATTGTTTACTGAAGACAGAGTGTTCCCTCTCTTCCATTCTCCTTGTGGGTTTTTTGTTGGGTTTCAAAGGAAAGGAATGGAATTTTTTAAAAAAATCCTTTATTGTCGTCTTTAACAGAAAGCCCTAAACTACTCATATTTTTCAGGACAGAGAAAAGCTCTGTGTAAGCTTTTGAACAAATAACTTCAAATTACCATTTACCAAATTATGTTTTTTTTTAACCAAGTCAAAGCATCATCTAGGAGTTTCCCATGTAATAATTAATGTCAACTTCTTTTTTCATTTTAAAGATGTATTTAATTATTTATTAGAGAGAGAGAGGGAAGGGGAGGGGCAGAGGGAGAGAGAGAGAATCTCAAGCAGATTCCCTGCTGAGTGCAGAGCCCAGCATGGGGCTCTGTCCCAGAACCTGGAGATCATGACCTGAGCCAAAATTAAGAGTCAGCCACGCAACCAAGCCACCCAGGCGTCCCAAAAATTAACGTCAACTTTTTAATTTTGCTTCATATAACAGTGAGTTACATAATTGCCACTCTCCACTCATAAGCCATTTCTAATGATAAATATATGATTTTTTTCTCCCCATGATGAATGGCAGCATCATTTGTAAACCCCTTCTCTGGATGGAGGTCTTACATGACCTTGTGTCACCTAACTTCAAAGTTAGGGTGCCATTAGAGAATGTTCCCACCTCAGAAAGAAAGGAAATGACCAAATCAGTGCCATTAA